CATGCCGGGCGGCGGGGCAGCGGCGGGGCAGCGCCGGGGACGCGTGCGCGGACGGGAGGGAAGGTGCGCGGAGCGCAGGCCGCAGGGGCGACAGGCGCTTCTCGCGCGTTCTGTTCCCCCTCCCCACTTCCGGCCGGCCACAAGCGCCTTCCGGGGCAAAGGGCGGGGGAAGAGGAGGAAGAGGCTCCTCAGCAGCTTCCGCTGCCTTCTACCCAGCCCGGAGGTGGCGCAGGCGCCCTCTGGGCACACGAGACCGCCGGGACATCTCGGTCCGGACTAAGAGAGGGTTTAGCAATTGCTGCGGTCGCCGTGAGCCTGAGTCAGCGCCCGCGGGGCCGGCGCCCGAGTAAGAGCCGCCTTCTGGGAGGCCCAGCCCATCCCCTCCCCTCCCCTCCCCTCCCCTCCGCTGGCGGCCCATGGCTCCGTGGGCTGAAGCGCGCCCGCCCGGACTTCGGCCTGGCTCGGCGCGTCCCCGCGGCCTTCGGTATTTGGCCGAAGCTGCCCCGGGCCGGGAGGCAGGTGGCGGTGCGGATGAGAGACGGGCCTGCAACCCTGCACCACAAGCCAGGCCTTTGCCTCAGGCCCTTTCTACACGCTTTGTATGCTCTGCAATTCGCTGGTCAGTCGCACAATAAGTTCAGACCAGCTGCAAGTGCAAAGTAATTGTCCCACCATAAAAATGCTTCTCTGGCTACAAAAAGAGCCAACCAGTGAAAAAGTTCTTGAAATGGGTAATATCTGTAGTTGGTTTCTATCCAGCTTTCATTTGAATGTGCAGGAGCCCCTGAGACACCAGAGGACCCCTTGCAGGATAGTGGGGGGGCGGGGGGGACACTTGGTGGAGGTGAGGGGTGTCTGCAGTGACTCGGCTCAGGGAGGTACCCATTGTTGTCTTCACTGACAACAGACTTGCCTGTTTAAAACCATATCGTAACCTGTTTGCTTTACATGGCCCTCACTGCGAGCACCTGGTACATAGTTTGTATTTTCTGGAAATCTGCTGTACCACTAGACTGCTACCTGCCTGGTGGAGGTCCAGCCTGGGGTGGGTCCTGCTGAAAAAGTTTCACAATGAGAGAGAGAGAGAGAGAGAGGGAGAGAGAGAACACCAGACACATAAAAAACCATGTCCTGGTGGTTTAGATAAAGAGTTCTTAACTTTTTTCTTCACCCCATTCCCCCAGCATGCTATAAAACTTCCATGGCTCACCTCACCTATACCTGGATGCAGTGAGTAGGACTTGGTGGCCACTCATCTGAGCAGCAGCAGTACAGAGCCTCACTTGCCTGCCCACAGCCACCACCCAGAAGATGGAGGCTGTGGGGCAAGCCCACTCCTGCCCCTTCCTTGGGACTTGCCTCACCCCAGGGGGACTGGGCCAGGCAGACCCTTTGAAACCTGCTCGTGGTCCTCCAGGGAGATGCATCTGGAACACTGGCTCTCAACCAGGGGGTCCACAACATCCATCTGCCTAGTTCATTGCTGCATCTTGTGGGTTTGGTTGACTTTTATTGATAGTTTCACCACTGGGATAAATGCCTTGGAGCTGCTGTTTTGTTAGGAAAAAAATGGTTGCAAAAAGGTTGTGAATTGTAAATAGTCCCTCAACCAAAGCATTTCCAGGATGAAGGGTGCGGGGCTAGACATGCTTCCTTCAGTAGCCAGACTCAGCAGAATCAGCTTCCTGCGAATGAGAGCAGAGGGAACAGGAGCCCGTAGGGAGGAAGAACTGTTCCTTCTAGCATCAAACTGTAATCTGTGCAATAGTTGGCCCACTGATCCATCACACAGTTGTAAACTGGCCAGGATTTGTAAAAAAAATAGTTATTGCTTAGGTTTAATGCTATCTGGCAAAATTAAAGTGTGGAGGGGACTGCAGAAGCTTCCTGTTCACTACTTAGTCTGATATTTCTGCTCTCAGTTGTCTGATGCTGGGGATCTTAGGACAGATCTTTGATTACTTCTTCCTTGAACTCTGTTGTATATTCTTAAAATGTCCCAATAACAGGATTGAACTTACAACTTGTTCATTCTTTTGTTGTTGTAAGACAGTGACAGTAAAAGACTGCAGAGAAATATTTTTTAACAATGAGTTTCCTTTGTTTTAAATGTATATGTGAAACTGAAATAATGTTACTTAGTGTACATGCTAAAACATTGTTTGCACCTTTTTTCTTTAGGAAACTTATGCCTAGCTCTGGTGCTGTAGCAATGATTTCCTCCTCGGCACGGCTGGCTGGAGAAAATGAAGTGGAGTCTTGTATATTAAAATTTCCAGATTTGGATCTGAAAGAATCTGTTCCTCTCACATCCAAACCTAGGCTGAAAGTGGAATTAGATGCCAGTGTGAGAAAGAAGTATGCATTTGCAAAGAAGAAGGTATGTTTTCTCTCACTTTATTACGTATGTTCATTTTATGCAGCACAGAACAATATTCTTTCATTAGTTTGAGTGATTCATAGAATCACCATTTTGTTCATACCATTGTCTGTCTTCTTGTTATAGTATTTGGCTATTTTTTGTCATCACAGTATTTAAATCAGAGCTGTCCAACTTCTAAGCAGCTGGGGACTGTACGCCCCATGGGATGAATCAGTGGGGGCTGCACTAGCAGAGGCCATGGCCCCCTCAGACTGCACCTTGCACGCACAGGTGGGTGCTCCCCCCAGCCCACTACACTGTGAGTGAGGACAGGTGATTTCTCCACCCTGTTACACTGTTTTTCAGGTGGGTAAGTGCTTCCCAATCCCATTGCACTTGAGCACACAGACAGGTACTCATTCACCCCACTGCACTGCATGCATAGAAGCAGGTTCCCAGCCTCACCTGCAGCTTTTTGCAGGCTCCTTCATGGCACCATGCTGCACAGGTGATCCTGGGGCTGCTGGCTTCCGTGGCACCATGGGCTGTGCCATTCTGTGCTGCCTTGCCCTGCTCCCAGAAGCTGGGTTAGGCAGTAAATACTAGCCCTAAGCCCCTGCTACTGCTGCAGGCATAGTGAAATGGGCATGGACAACCAGGTTGTGGGAGGGGAGAGAGAGTGAGTCCATAAGTTAACTCCTTGTGGGCTGCTAGTTCAGGAGCCCTTATTTAAACTAAAGGAGTCAGCAGTGTCATCACCATTTATTTACTTTAAAGGACTGACATGATGTGAAGCCATGATTCAGCAAAGCACCCGAAATCATAAATAAGACAGAAAAGGGCTTTAATAGTCGGCTAGTTTAGCTCCCTGCTCTGAGCAGTTACTTAACCACAGACTTAACCTTAAGTGCTTTGCTCAACAGGGTGGGATTGAAATATGGTGATATATGTTTGAGGACTTTGCTGAAGAAGAAACTTCACTGCATTAAATTGCTGCCACAGGATAATAATTTCCTATTGCAAAAAAGATGTACATACAAATTCAAAACTTAAGTTTCAAGCCTAGAGCAGGGATTGGCAGCCTATGGCTCCCACACCAGATCCAGTTGATGGTCAGACTCGGTTCTAGGAACCACAGGGAATCAGGCAGAATGCAGCTGTGCACAGCTGCCTTTCCCCTCAGCAGTTTCCTACTCTGCAACCTTCCCTGCTATCTCCTACTTGCACTTAACCTAATTGCAGAGGAGCTGGGTATCTGCTGCTATACCCCACACATTGCATTGATCAGTTACAGCATTGTTCAGACTTTACAGAGATGCAGAGAATGGCAGGTGTTAATTCTTCAGCAGTGATTTGAGCGTGAACTTCCATTTCAATATGGATTGCTGCCTGGGGTAAATGAAGGCTATTACAATTTTAAGTAGGGGTGCACCCATATATCTGTCACATTTCAAATCAGCACAGATAACAGGAAAATTAACATAATTGGCAATTGGCTTTTTTTGGCCAATAATACCACGGATAAATGCTGTGTGCATGCATGCAGCTGTAGCATGCACACAGCCAGGAATGCAGCCCGGCAGCTTGGAGAGCAGCATCTGGCTTTGAGTCTGTGGGGGGGAAGGGGCATCAGGGGAGAAGCAGGGGGGGGCACAGATTGAGGCCCCCATGGTGAGGCAGGGAGTGGGGCAGGGGCAGGTGCTGCCCAGCTAGGGTGGTGAATACAACCTTACTGGGAGCTGGACAGAGCCATGGAAAGCTCATTTGGAGGGCATGTGGGGAGGGGGGACGGTTCCCTGCCTCTGTGCGTACCCCTGAGGGAGACATGGGGGGCATGTGTCCCCCTGGTTTGTGCGCAGCTTGAGGGCGGGCTGCCCATTGCGGGCTTGGGGCCAGGGGCTGCACCAGCCTCTTCCTGGTGGTGGGGCTGGGCTGGGGCTGCGCTCCAAGCAAGTGGGGGGTGGGGTAGACAGCAGTGGCACTGGGAGGGAATGCTATGGCCTGGCTACGGGGAATTTTGGGGTGGCTCTAACCACCCCTCCCAGCACCACCGCTGCCCACCCTGCTCCCTCCTGCCCCAGCCTTCCCGCTGGGAAGAGGCCAGCACAGCCCCTCGCCCACAGTGGGCAGTTCACTCTTGCCCCACACACAATTCCGGGGTGGGGAGGGTGCACATGCATCCCCCGGCGGTGCCTGCAGCAGCGGGAGCTGTCCTGTGCCCCCCAGATGAGCCACCTACAGCTCCATCCCACTCCTGGTGGGGTCACATTTACCGCCCTGGCTGGGCAGATCATGCCCTTGCCCCTGCCTCACTCCTTGCCTCACCATGGAGGCCTCGATCTGCGACCCCCACATCCCTTCTGCCCTGACAGACCTTCCCACCAGACAGTGCTCTCCAGGCTGTTGGCTGCATTCCTGTAAATCAGCTGTTGGATTGTTATCAGCTGATAAGCCTCGTTAATAACCAGCCATTGGTATCAGCCAAGAAAATCTTTATCAGTGCACCCCTGATTTTAAGCTACATGGGAACTTTTACATGTCCTTAGGTGGGGGCTTTTTTTAACATATTGCAAAGTATTTTTGACACTATCTGCTACTTTCATTCATGCTCACAAGGCAATAGAAGTAATATGAATGTTATATGGCATCGTGGACATATCTATGTGTATATTCCCCAAAACAGCAACGTGTGACATGATTCCAAATAATAAAAGGCAAAGGGGTCAAATCCCCTGAAGTGTAGTATCTAGTTTTCCCTTCATTTTCCCTGAATTTCAGCCCCTCTCATGAACCTGTTCCCCTTTTTCCCTCCTTCCCTCTGTTTACTATTTGTCCCACTTAGCTGCCATCTGCCTGAAATGTCTGAGGGTCTGTGGGATCTACCCTTGTGGTGAGGCAGCAAGGTGCAGTAAAAATAGAGAAAGAAAATGTGTTTCCTTTGCTGTCTGCGTTCACCCAATTTTAATAGTTCCTGAGGGAAAGGTATACATTAGGATGTGAACCAGGTACCAGGAAGATACCCATGAATATCCTGGCAATAGAGTTTTATATGCAGCCACATGAGCCTCAGCTGTAGGCAGCTGCATTTGTCCAGGCATCAGGTGGGGAAATAGTGGGCATGAAATATATGCAAGATGTTTTAGGGGCATTTTAGGACTGTGTCACTATGAAACATCCCAGAGGGCACAGGGGAGGTTTGTCTGTGAGAGCAGGGTTCTAATTAAAATACGAATCTCAGTTGCCCCAAAAGTGACTGAGTGGAGCTAGAACTGCAAAGCTGTTGCTGCTTTTTATATTCACCTATTATATATTAGCATTAGCCAGAGGCATCAGAGTACAGGGAATATCATTCCAATGCTTTGTCTTGTGAGTAAAGGTTGGAAATGTTATGATTGTTTGAGGCAAGCAGAAGAAGGAGAAAAGCATGGGAAATGCTTCTTTTGTTTCTTTGGTGGCTTTGGGCCTAACCCTGTCAGTGTTCCCAAAATTAAACCTTGAGCTCCCCCAGTCTCCATGTTATCATAGGACCTGTTTCCAAGGAGACTCGGATCCTTATTAGGTTAGATTAAAAGCATCATCAAAAGTGAGGACTCTGAGGAACTACAAGGTAATTACTTAACCAAACAGTCTTAGTAACTGTGAAGCCTAGTTAAAGCACTAGATAGATTATCAGTCACCAGGCTCTGTCTTTCATTCACTTTTGGGTCATGAGAGATTGTTTCACAGAATCACAAGTCTGACGGATGGAATGTTATGATTTGCAGGCATTTGCCCTCTTTGTTAAAACGAAGGAAGTGCCAGCCACAGCTAACTGCCCTTCGTCCATCTGCGGGGAGGGAGCATGGTGGAAATGCTGCAGGCAGATGTTCAAAGACCTCTCCAGCATTCACAGACACATAGCTACGCAGCATGTCAGTGACATCAGGCAACAAACAGGTTTGATTTTAAAGCAGTTGGCTGCTGAAGCTAGCACCTCAAGTAACCCAGCTTCTGTGGACAAGGCCATTAGGCTAAACGGTCCCACTTGTAACAACCCTGAGATATCTGTTAGGCTCCCAGACACAAGCCACATTAGCTTTGATGAACTAACAAGGTAAGACATTGCCTCAGCGATATAAAAATTGTGTTACTCACTGTGAGCCAGCCATCAGCCACTTTGAGCATGTTGCATCAGTTGAACTCCAGCCATTAGAAAACAGGTTTTTGTTACACTGGTGTAACTTTTATGAAGATACAAAACTTTCTCTCCTCAATATGTTCAGATTCTCTCTGTATAGCTACTCAAAATGGACTCATTCCTGGACTCATTCCTGTTTAACTTAGTACACTGTGCAGCCACTCACCCCAGTACAAAGGACAAGGACAACATTACAGTTCTGATCTGTGAGCATATATGTCCAGCTTGCATAGATGTGAGGCAGTGGTGGGGTGGGGGATCTGGTCCCACATCTGTATGTTTCCGATCAAGTCAAAGAGAGTCCACATGAGTGTGACCCACATTCTCATAACAGGGCACATACCAAAGAAAACAACAACAGTAGGCTCGCTGGAATGTAGTTTAGTGGTACTTTTCACATTAATAAGGAGATTAAGAAAATCTTACTTAGGACATTTTTGTACAATAGCAGCAGTGTTTCCTGGCTGGGAGGGCCCCAAGCACCTTCTGTGCTCTGAACCTAGACATCTACTAATGAGGCCACTTCATGGCATTCTTCTGCAACTTCTCTCAAGCCCTTGGACTCCAGTGTACTTTAGAGTGACTGCTGGGAATAAGCCTGAATCATCTTCACTGGCTTATTTCCAGGTATGATGCCTGTGTGTAGGAACAGATGTGCTGAATATGCTCAGGGCCCATTCCCTGCCATGGTGACACTGTCCTTTGTGTGTAAGAGTTCAGGTGGAGCTATTCAGAAATTGGCCCCCTCTTGCCCCTAAAAAGTTAATGTTGTTTTCATCTGGACAGTTCAGATGGGTTTGCTTCAAGTTTGCCATAACTTTAGTCCTTAGCAGATGTCTGATATCTTGAAAACAAAAGTTCCAGTGTGGGATGTGTTTAAAGAAATCCTGAATGGGAATAAGTTATAAAGCACAGGCATGGACATAACATGCAGGGCTAGTTAAGCCATTTCAGCATTCCCAGGGGTAGAATAAATAAAATACAGGGGTACATGATGAGCTGCACAAATCTGATTTATGTCCACTTCTACTTGAAGTAAATGTAAAAGGCACCCAGTGACTCAACAGCACAATAGCCGTGGAGGAAATTAATTAATTTGGTATCAGGCCCTGGTAGCAGCATCAACTGCAACTCTTTTCTTGCCATTGAGTCTAAAATCCAATCCCAATTTGTTCTTTGTGGTGCCCTTGGCAGTGACATGGGAGAGGTGCTGTTATATTACTGCTACTGTGAAGTGAAAGACCCAGAGAGGCTTTGCGTTTGGCAGAAGGCTCTGTGCCAACACTTGCATATCACTGGCAAGGTAAGTGGTTACTGTCTCTTCAGATAGCTTCCTCTGCTTTGTGAGGAACTGTAACAAGGTGCATGGCTCAGGGGCTGGAGCCCTGCAGGGGGTTAGATGGTAATAGCTTGCCTGCTTAAAAGCTCTGGGCCAGCTGATGGGGATGATTGGTTGGCCCTGGGGGAAGTTAAAAGCTCCCAGAGAGATGATGCTGGAGAGGGAAGGAAGCTGAGAAGAAAGGCAGCACTGGGCATATCTACAGGAGACACTTTACTGCGCTGCAGATTAATTTCCTGTGCACTAAAGCATCACTGGGTACATATGCACAGCAATTAAGGTGCATTGGACTAATTTACTGCACTGCTGGATAATCATGTTAGATACATGTGGTATCCTGCAGTACAGTAAATTACTGCGTTTAAAAGCATGGATAGATGGTAACATCAGGATTAGTTTATTCTGGCTCAGATTGAACTGGAGTATATTCAGTCACATTAATTGCATGTGTGGACACATCCACTGAGAGAGTCTGAGCCCTTGACTTGGATAGGAGAGGCAAGTGGGGGTGGGGTTCTGTTGATGTTTTATTATTGTTTAGTTTGAGGTGGGAAAGAGGGAAGGCTGGCTCCTGGGCCTGGATGAGGGAGTAACAACCCAGTACAGGAACAATGCACCTTACAGATGGCCCAGTTGTACTTTGTCCTGTTGCATGTAAGGAAGACAGCAGAATAGCTGACCTGAAAATACAGGAGTAGGATGATTTATTGCTTGCCTCATTGTCACAGCTCAGCTTTTAGGCTAAAAATAAGGGCACTATTCTTCTACCTAGACTTTGCCTTTTGCAGGATTGATCTCTGTATTGTTCTGTCAACACTTGTGAACAGTGTCTTGCATGTTCCAAACTTTTGCAGTGCAGGCGTCCTACTGATAGCCTCTTCTGCTTCATATCACCTAGAGCTGGTGTCAGCAACCTACAGCCTGTGGGCCAGATCTGGCCCATGGAACCATTGGATTCAACCTGTGGACATGGGGTATTGTTGGCAGTTGGCAGCAGGGCTCTGGCAGCATTCAGTGTGGTGGCTTTCAAGTTGTGGTAGAGAGAGGTGGCAGCAGTGGTGGGTACTCCCATTATGTGACGGGAAGAAGCAGCAGTGGCGGGAGCTTCCCTTGTGCTGTAGCAGAACCAAGTGGCTGCAGTGGGAAGATGTGCTGATGGTGGGAGCAGTGAATCCTAGCACCCGCCCACCTGTGACTGAGCTGGATCATTTTAGCTTGCAGCCTGAAAAAGTTGCTGACCACTGTCCTAAAGCCTCTTTTTTTCTAATGCCTATCCAGAACTCTTCTTTCTCTATCTTCAGGCTTTGTCTCTTTACAACAATCGTAGACCACTAAATATTATTTTTTAGCTATTTATACTCTAGCTACACTGTAATTAACTTGTAGACTGTGTTCACATCCCTTGATACTTATATTTGATGATCTGTGTCCTTTCCTTTCAATCTTAGCCCTGACTTTTCCTCAATTCACGTAAAATTATTGTTGCCCTTTTTGTAGTTCTGCACACACTATTCCAAGCTCAATAATAGGCTCTTGTGTCAAGTGTTCCCATAACCAGTGTTGTTTAAAACAACATGAATCAAAAGCTCTGCTCTTTCATCGAGTAGGAACATGAGACAAAGCCGCTCTTTTCTCTGCTTTATGCAGCTCTTAGATACCACAATGATATGTCCTGACACACTAAATTCCTCTTTGCTCATTTGTTATCTGGTAGTTTCCAAGTTCTTTCTTCCAAAAGTTATATTACATGTGCCTTTTCATCTTCATATTTTTTTGCCATTTCCTTGATCTAATCCAGTGGTTCTCAAAGTTTTTAGGCTCAGAACAGCAGAGACTTCCTAAGACCTGTTTTGCAACTACTCAGTCTAATAAAATATCATACCTACCCAAAGAACCTTGCTTTATTAGGCTTAAAGCACTCCTGGATACAGCCAAGACACCTCTTAGAAAATACCAGCTCTTAGTTTTGACTACAAAAAAATAATAGAGCAATTCTTCTGTTGCATAGAACTGAGAAAGATCACAACAGGTCAGAATACTGAGGATTCCTATTCAAAATCTCTGGGTTTATCTTGTGAATCATATTTGAATACATAACAGTGGGTGCACCTATACGAGACTCTATGGTATTGGCAGGCACAAACCATGATGCCAAGGCTATCGTATAGCAGTTCGTGCTACTGCACAGTAGGGTCTAAAATAACCTGTGCACTGCTGGGACTGCGCAGTAATGGTGGTTAAACAAGTACTAAACTGACTGCTCAGTAATAACTGCACAGTTGGGTGCAGGTGTAGATGCACCCAGTGTTAACATTGTATGGCACCTGGTGGCACCTTTGGAAGGACCTTGAGGCACTGCAGCGTGCTGCAGCATCACAACTGCTTCTGTCAGTTCCGTGAACTTCAGGTTTTCTTCACTTCAGTGTTTTGGAATTCATGCATCAGAGTTGAATTTAATTGCAACACCTACACTTCCACTTACTTGTAGCTACTGTAGTTATTGGACCTGTCATTGGAAGTTTGCCTTAGTAGTTACTACAGGATTTGGTCCATTCCTAGTAATTATTTCTCCACTTCTTGCACAAGTTTTTCTGATTCAGTATATCTTGGAGTAAAAGTAAGAACTGAATATTTAATCTCATTTTGTGGTTTCTCTTTTGCTGTAATCATTTCTCCAGCAACATCAGCTACCGCTTCCCTCCGACTTTCCCTTTTTCTGATTGTAGTTCTACAATCTTTCTTGCATTGTCAGGGGACCCCATTTTTATTTGCATGTTGATTAGTTTGTACTATTATCTGAAAAGTGTAATACTGGTTTGCAGTATTATTTGAAATCTGGTTTTCCTTGTTTTCCAGGTGCGGATTGCTTCAGAAGGAATTAATGGGACAGTGGGCGGAAGCAAAGTAGCTACATGTCTTTATATAGAAGCAGTGCTTTCCCATCCTCTGTTCAGAAACATTTTGTGTAGAGAGGATTTCAAGGTAAAAGAAGTTATTTGCATACACTATTTGTAGATTGCCTAGGGAAGTTATGGACTCCATCACTGAAGGTGTTCAAGAAGAGGCTGGACAGCCACTGGTCAGGGATGACATAGGCATACCTATGCCTATGTTCTACTATGGGTATTTTCCATGCTTCTGGGCTTTGCAGTTTGCCCCCCTCACCCCCCTGCCGCCCTTCTCCCCATCTTCTTTTTGCTACATATGTCAGGGTGGTTTAAAGCCTTCCTTGGAGGCATTGGATGTTGGCTACAGCCAAGGCTGGGGACTTTGACTGGGATGTGCCAATGCTTCCGCTGGGACCAAAGCTGGAAGTTCCTGGCTAGAAGGTCTTACGCCACCACTCAGGGTCAGACCAATCATCATATTTGGGCTCAAGAAGGAATTTTACCCCATGGTCAGATTGGTATGGACTGTGGGGGGTTTGTGTTCCTTTGTAGCAGGGGTGTGGGCCTCTACCTGAGAACTCTTGAGCATATGTTGACAACATTTCACAGAAGCAGGACATTGGCCGCTATCGATCCTCTGCTTTACCTGTGGCAGTTTAAGGTGTAGGTCTGTGTTGTGTCAGGGTTGACAGTAGTTTTATGTAGAGTTTAGATTATGTTTTATATGGGATGGTTTGGATAGGTATGATCCTGCCTTAGGCAGGGGTTGGACTAGATGACCTTTAGGAGGAGTTCTTTCCAGCCCTACTTCTCTATTCTATGAAATACTTGTTCACCTTAAGATTTGCTTTTAGAAATATATGCACACACTATTCTTCCTTCTGGGTAGCTTCTCTCTACTACAGTAAAAATTCCAAGGAGCCTATCACCTGCAGTATTGGTTTAGGGAACAGTTGCTTTGAGGAGAAGCAAAGTTATCATAGTCTTTGTTGTCATCTTTGTCTTCGTCTTCTTCCTCTCTTCCTCCTCCTTGACCTCCTCTGTTTTCTCCTTCTCCTCCAG